AATTTTGATGTAAGAATTTTGAGTATATGTATAAAGTCAAGCACAGCTCTAGGACAAAAAGTTGAAGAAAAAGGAGATTGTTTGTTAAAGCCGTGTCGTGATGGTCACAATCTAAATTTTACTACGCGACTGATTTTGTGTATAGTACGAATGCTTCCGTTTATCTGCAAAACATGCAAAACATTACCTACCACCAAGGCTCACTTTAAACGTATGTTAGGCTGCGAAAAATGAATGGAATTTCTGAATCATGAGTCACTGTTTACAAAAAACAAACTCATTACTTCTTAGCCTTTGCAAAAACCATTAAGTGCACGAAAAGTCGGGATTTCTCTATCCTCCCTCAAATCAACAACGAAAATAGATTCACTACCTCTCTCGTTATAGACAGTGTTACGAAATTGCCCATAACAAGCCATACGAATGGCGGAATTCCAGCTTGCAGGAGGGCGCAAATGAGACCAACTACCATTAGCTAAACAATGCTCGCTTTAGAAAACACGTGCGCAAACGGTTTCACAAACAACCAAGCAAGTCGATGAACCCACCTTTAGATCTGTTCGATCAGAGAATGCATAGATCTCTTTAAAGTGAGACCACCTGCCTTCACTTTTTTTCTTTTTTTCCTTCGGGGCCAACTCAAATGACAAATCTTTACCAGATATCTTGTCCGTCTTGTTGGTGATCTTCTCGGAGTTAACTTGGTAAGCTGAACAATACGAAGTCAAATGGAACTCTGGCACTTACTTCAACCATTGCTTACAAAATTAGGAAATCGAGCATTAGTACCTTTAGTGTTCTTCTTTGGATCATCTACGTACAAATCTTCTATGGGATAGATCACATTAGTTTGTGGTTTAGTTTCATCCTGTTCTTTCCTATTCGTGTCGTTGTTGGCTGTCATCCTTGAACATGAGGTATCGCGAGGGTAGTAAGTCTGGAGCACTTACTAAGTGGATATAATGTAGCGACTGTGAGATAAAATCTTTGTAATTCCTATAGGGATCATAGTGAGCTTAAATCATAAGTAATAAAGTATATAAGTGAGGCAGTAACCAATAAGTAACACAGAATTTCGAGGGGTTGTTAAAAACCAGAAAAGTGCTATTACAGACTGAATTTGAAAAGATTAAACAATACTGAACTTGAATCTAAAATCTCTACTCAAAGATGGAAATGAGTGACATCGATGCGATCTTGTCAGACAACATTTAATTAATCGAAATTAGCACTTTTAGTCGATCACTAGTCAGCAATCACTCGTGCTACCCCTCGCAATAGAAGTGCACTATACCGTAGAAAAAGAATGCTGAGAAGCAAGAATTCTATTCCAAAAAATTGCGTAGATGTTTCTACTTTATGTGTAGAATGAATGATATGAAATCTTATTAAAATACGGCTAAAGGAGTCGCAGGAACCCGTTTTTAGTGAAATGGGATGGCTCGACGCACTCGAATTGTTACACACTTTTGGAAATAGTGCAGAAAAACCTTT